TTGTTCTATAGGCTACTAACAATGTTTCGAATGCAATACAGTTGTAAAGAGAATAACCCTATTAATTGAACTTTGGTATTGATGTGTAAAAAGAGAAAAAGAGAAGGGGCATCATTGCGATATGATGAGATAAGGGAGATGGAACATGAAACATAGAATCAAGTTGAATTGGATTGCTCGATAAATTCACACTTTCGATTAAACAATGGCATTGAGATTGCGCGCACGTCGAACTATAAAAAAAAAGTCGACCACTATCGTTCTGTATGTTTGTTAACGGTAGAAATAAAATGAATAGTCGTCAAACACTGAATACATATTACGAAAAAATCAATTATCAAAGAATGTTTTGAATACAAACATAGGGAACAAAAAAGTATGTGAAAAACGTAAAAAAAAAGAGCACAAAAAAAAATGAAATGTTATTATTTTCATACCTGATAATGAAATAGCTTCAGTAAGTGCTTGTTCAAATGTTGATTCATTTACAACATCATATTCTTGTGGTTGTATGATTGATTGCTGTTTAAGTTTAATGACATGTTGTCGTACTATTTCATCAAGTTTCAATTCAATATTAACTTGTTCTAAATCAGTACTTAAACCATGTCCTTCATCAGCACGAAGACCACTGAGAACAAGTTTAAGTTCTTGTACATCACTTATTTTATTCATCATTTCAGTTTGTAAATTATTAAGATCATCAGAAAGATGCTTCAAAGAAAAAAAACCGATTATTATACATTTCATTAAAAAAAAAAAAAGCGACGTATACTTCAATCACAGCATGTGATTCTTTCTTTTGTGTTGCAATTTGTAAACGGTCTTCAATAGTTTGTTGTTTAGCTTGTAAAAATGTTAGTTCACTCATATTAAAGGCTAATTGTAAAAGTTTTTCATTATAGATTGTTTCATCTTCTGTTTAGTTTGTGATTAGAAAAAAAAGTAAAGAAAGTAATATAGGATTAGTCGAAAAATAAATTTATCATACCAGCACGAAGAAACTTTCCATCTGGAGTACTTCCCAATATACGTTTAACTTCAGCAGTTTGCCATTGAATTGTACTAGAAAAAAAAAGTAATATAACGGAGATGAAATAGAAATAATACGTAACTTTTCTAATCAATTTTTTTCTGTCTTTTTAGCTCGACGAAATTTTCGGAAAACGCTTATTTGATTGAGAATTTAATTGTCTACAAAAGCTGCTATTTGAAATTAGCAGAACTCAATCATCATTTGAACAATATTCAAAATACATACAGATGTGAATTTCAAAACTATACCTTCGAAAAATTTCGTCTCTATGTCAATTGTTGATCCTTTATAAATTTTAACGCCATCAGAAAATTCTCTATTTAGCCTTGGGTGCGTACGAAAAACTAAAAAGATCGCGCTTTTTTCCAAAAAATAAAATAGTTCAATTGTGAATTATGAGCATAAATGAGTATTAAAGAATGATTGGTGAACTTATAAATTATTCGAGTCGATAGAACACACAATTTGCTATATGATCATATATGAATGTTGAATATATTCACTCGACATGACAACTTAGCACGTTTACGAACAAGACGAAGAGTATGGCGCAATTTTGAAATTCATATTTGTGCATCTTTTAAATATTGTTTCGATGATGATTGAGTTCTGCAAATTTGAAATAATAGGTTTTGTAGAGAATTTAATTCTCTATCAAATGAATCTTTCCTAAAATTTCAATCGATTAGAAAAAAGTGGCACATTGTGATGCTTATTATTCATATCAATGAATTGATTTTTGAATTACCTCATTGATCCTTGTTGTTGTTGTTCATCGATCATTGTTAATTTTATATCGTCTTCATCTTCTATATTATTATTAAATTTAATTGTTGTAAAAGGACTATCATTGATAGTCCTTTGTTTTAAATTACTTTTTTGATTTAAATGTTTCGAAAAATCTAGAAAGAAAAATTTCTAAGATATTATCTATTAAAAAGAAAAAATTCTTACCAAGTCTATCGAATTTTAAATCAATTTTATAAAAAGCTAATTCTTGTTCAAGTTTACATTGTTTTTCACATGCTTGATGAAGTAATGATGTTTTACGTTGAAGAAGTTCTTCACTAACAGTTAATCTTTCTTGTAAATCCTAGAAATTAAATATTCATTGTAGAAAAGAAATATTCAATCAAAAAGAAAAAAAAACAAATTTTAAATTAAAACTACAAATCATTTAAATCAATGTAGATAAAAATCAATATCAATATCATTTAATTATTTATTCCTATAGAAAAAAAAATTTATCTAAGAATATTGTATATAAAATAAAAATATTATGTTCAATCTAAATTACCAAATGTTTTTTGATTATTAAAATATCAATGATGACTTTGTATAACTTGTTAGAATATAGAAAAAAATTTAAAAAAAAAACAAAATTCTTTTTCATAATGTTCAATAAGAATTATTATTGAAATGTAATCTTTATAAATATATATCGATTGATTCTAGATGAATTACTTTAGAAATTTTTTCAAATGTTACAAGTCAGTTAAGAAAGTTAATTATTTAGATAGAAATAGTGTACTATTTGAATTTTGAGTGTTTATAATCCTCTTACATAACCAAGAAAGAAAAACATCACAACTTTATTGAAATTATCAATGCAATTAAAATTTTTAACTACAAGGTTTGATACAAAACTACGAAGATGTGATAGCAAAGCATGAGCAATAAGAACTAGCAAGATACGTCTTTTGGGATTCAAGCGCTTGAAATCATTGTCAATCCAAACTGTTGTCTGTATAAAAAAAGATCGATACTAATTATCATGAGGATAAATATAATGACAGTCAAGTATATCAGAGATCATTTGAAGATTTATGCAATCGAACAACTAGTGTACAGATTCACTGACGTAGGATAGTTTATAGCTGTCAAATTGCTTTTCGCTTGAAATGATTACCATTCGATCGGCTATGATGGGCAGTGAAAAATTTGTTTCGATTTGATTTTAGGATTCTCGCTTATTAAGTTATGGGTGTTTTACTCGATTTTTGCTCGATGAGCACATAATTACTGAGAACCTGAATGCTCATAGATACGCCTTATAGTCATTAGAAACTCTTCAAAGTTTAAGCTAGGCCAAACGTATCTTTATCAAGGTACGAGTTTATCATGAAAATGTACTCCTTTTCAAACACATCTCAAAACAGGCGTTTCTTTAAAATGCAAATATCGTAGTACGAAGATGTTTGTTCTGGCTCAAATTTTGAAGAGCTTCTATTGACTGTAAGTTGTGTCTGTAGAAAAAATTTCATTTCAAAATTCGATCATCAGGCTAAAATTGAATAAAATTTCCATAACTTAACAAACAAAGACTAGTAAACAAAATCAAAACAGACTTTTTCACTACTCGTCAAGATCAAACGAATGGTAATAGTTTTAAGCGAAAAATGATTCAGCAATTGAAATAATTCCTTGAATATTTGTTTTTATTGTAATGTAAATTATCCAGTTGCTTTCTTTCCGACAATACTACAGATTGTCGTTGGCAATTGTAAAGAATCGAATTTTTGTTATGTAAAAAAAGAAGATTGAACTCAAATCTATTTTTCCTTCATATACAATAGTCACCAAAATTATTCGACTAAGTTTATTTTCAATTTCTTCCTACTGTCATCATTCATAAGAATCAAAATAATGATTTTTGTAGAAAATTTTATTTCCAACGAGAATTTTTGAAGATGAAAATGATAGCTAGTTTCTGAATGATAGAATCTCTGAAAAACTCAAACTTAAGTTTTAACATCTTTCAGCTCTCTACAGCATTTTTTGACTGAAATACATTGATCTTGCATAACGCACAAAAATAATTTTTCTATACAAAATAGCAGAAAAAACGACTTTCGTAAAATTAATGTATTTGGGCTACAAGAACGTCATGGAAAGCTTAGTAATCGTTTTCATCTTCAATAATTCTTATTGGAAATAAAATTGTCTATGAAAATAACTACTTTGATTCTTATTAGTATTGACAGCAGTAGAAAACAATTGAAAATAAATCTAGTCGAATAATTTTGAGAACTACTGTTAGAGACATGTATGAGAGTCGGAATCGAAGTTAAAGTTGATATAAATTAAAGAAATTCTGAATTTTTTTTTTCTTATGTAACATAACTTAATGGAAATTATTCCAACCTTCAGTTGTATTTTGTGAACTTTCTTATGGTATTAATTTAACGGAATCGTTTCCGTTTCTTATTAAATTTATAATCTCTTTGCGTGACAAAGTCATAGCAGTCATTCTAAGTATCTTAAGTACACAAAGATATTCAAAAATCTAATTAATTTTAATTTTTCTGTCTAACATATTTATGTATTCGTTCACAATACTCTCAAATCAGATATGATTTGTGATAGGACACTAATCTTAAATTTCATAATATTTTTGAACATGTAAGTTGTTGCTAATTTACAGAATGAAAAATTTTCAGAGTCGGAGTCAAAAAAAAACAGTTTGACTTCGTAGGTCTCTAGCTACTATATATAATGATGAAGAAGAAAACGTTTCTTATTCTAGAATTTAAAAGATTTTAATATCTCACTTTAATTTCTTTAGCTTGTATTAAACTTTTATTTTCAACTGTTTGAAGTTTATCACTTGTTATTTCTAATTGTTGTCCACTATTTATTGCTTGAGTATTTAAACGTCGACATTCATTATCTCGACGTTCAAGTTCATGAAGTAAATTTTGTACTTCTTGTTGAATAAATCTAAAATCAAAATATATTCTATTATATGAAATTAAAACATTCATCATCTTTACTGTTCTTTAGCTTGT